TCTTTTCTGGTAGATGCTTGAAACTGGATAGTAATGTATGCTTTACATACAAATATATAATAATGTTTGATTTATAAAGAAGACACAATAAGAGATTGGTAGCTTTTAGCATAAATATCTGGAACCTCAACATGTGCTGCTTTTCTTTCATTGTTGAGAGCTTTCACCTTTGCATTTCATGGAAGAGAAGCCCTTTATGGTCTCTCTGGCATGTCTGAATTCCCAGCATCAGCAGTCTTGGACTTTGTGGCCATTGTTAAGTTGAAAGCAAGATAAGATATTTGAACAGTTTGTTACCTTAGCAGGCAGTCTGATGACAAAAGTTGTTGCTAAGAATTTTCTCTTTAATATTTTGGACTGCAATTGAATCAAGATAATTGAAATCATACCTAAGGGAGGCTGAGGATAAAGAAGTACCAGTGCATATCAGAAACTGGTAATGCAGATTCACCTAGGGAAGAGAAGTCAATTTTTTATAGTGTTTAACAAGAATATTAAAAAAACATTCTGTTGCTGAAAATTAAACTCTGTTTGTGCATATGTGTTTTTTAGTATTTCTAATCAGTTTGTCCGTTGTTTTGACAGTCTGGCTAGCAGAACAAAAGTGTTCAAGCCAGGCAGAGGACGCTGCTTTCTGATAGCACTGTCGAATGTCACGAAGACTACATGACAGAGCGCAGCAAGAATCTATAGAAGATGGACAGCACTAAAATAATCTGTGCCAGTGGCCGCACTGTTCAGTTGTTTACTGCTCTGTCTTAACACCATGTTCTTGACATTGTGGAGGGAAATTTAATAGCCCATTAACATCTACGCTGGTTCTTAGAATTTTCTTTTTGTAAAACATTGCAGTGTTAAAATTCTGTTAGAACACATACTAAACACCGTTAGCGCCCCATAAAAAACAAAGTACCTTCACATTAATGGATGATACAGTGTCAATAAAATTGTTGAGGAAATGTGTATTTGATACATATGCATAGATTTTCTAGTCTATAAAACTTTCCTAGTTGTATCTAATGTCCACACTTTTTTGCAGTGTAAAGTATTGAACTTTGGGCCTCTACTTCTATTTCACACTCGTAGCCATTCCTTCAAAATCACTCTGCTTTAGCCCACAATTCATTGAGAGGATATGGGTTATAATTTCCATTAAGACCATTATTATCAGGAAGTTGCTTTTATTTCTGTGCATAATCGAATGTAAATTGAGAAGTTTGAACTGGTTTGTAGAAAGTATTGTTTCCATTTTTTTATTTTTGAGATTATAATATAATAACACTTTCCCTTTCCTTTACTCCCTTCAAGACCCTTCCATATTCCTCCTTTTTCTGCATATGGATTAAAACTTACTTTATTCAGAAAAAAATTTTATTATATACTCCAAACCCAGCCTATTTTGTATGTTTTTTTCCAGATACTTTTGACTGGGACAAGTATTTGAAAGAGACTGATTCTGTAAGTGCACCTTCAGAATACTTCAGACAGGTATGCCAAAATTCTCCTGAGACTTTATACAGTACTGTATAGCATTAACTTGTGGAAGGGTATCTGTGTAGTTTTGGGATTCTGGTAGTATGAGGAGAAAGTGGGATTATGTTTGTGCCATTCAAAACCAAATGTCCTATTTGCAGTTATTTTGTTTGATATACTAAGCCCTTAAAATTGCCCATGTAGAGGGAAAGACAGATAGCAAATACAAGAAATGTGATAAAGCTGGACTAAGAAAGCTTATGGAACAGATGCTATATAAGATTGTTAGAATGAGAAGAAAGAAAATATCCAAAATAATTTAAGTATCAAGATATGGCACAGAGTCGCTGGAGTGCAAGGTGGATAGAGGCACTTTGGGATCAAGGTTAAAGGTGTATAGGGGTGTTTGAAGTGTGCTGAAGAGTTTAACTTTATCATAGACTTTGATATGACTTCTAGTTTGCTCATTTCAAGGGGAATAGCTTAATGGGATTCTTAATTTTTAAAGTCTTTCAGGATGCATTTTATAGTCCACATTTGGGTTTCTTGAATATGCAGATGAGTGAGACTAGTGATAGCCAGCGTTTTTATACTGCATGTCAGTCAAAAGGGAAACTCTGCCTTGAGCCTTGTAACACTGACCTCATTCACCTGCTCTGACTGTACCTACAAAACATCTCCTAAGTATTTTGGTAACATAATTTGCCATCTGTTTTTCTTATAGTGCATGCATTTTAACACAGTGTCATTTATATATAGTCTAAGACTCCACCAACTAATGAATTCCAAGTTGGTATGAAATTGGAAGCCCGTGACCCTCGCAATATCGGTTCAGTGTGTGTTGCTTCTGTTATTGCAACTACTGGTGCCAGATTACGTTTACGACTGGATGGTAGTGACAATAAGAATGATTTTTGGAGACTTGTTGATTCATCAGACATACAGCCTGTTGGGACATGTGAACAGGCAGGAGATTTACTTCAACCTCCACTGGGTAAGGATAAACACTTCTTGAAATACCATAGTCTTACTAGTAAGCTATTTACTAGAGGTGGCTTGAAATGTCCTTTTAAATATCACTTAGGCCTTCTTATAAGTATATGGTCAGGGAGTTACTATAGAGGATATATGATTGGAGAGGAACTCGGTACCGTGTCACTTGTATACATACTGCACAAGTGTGCTAAAGGCCTCATTTTGAACAAATGTTAGAGTAATCTTCAAATTTAAAATACCAAAAGAAGCTCACTTACATCCTGCATGTGAATTCAGAAACTCTTCTAGAGAAGAAGCCTGTAATAGTTCCTATGAGTGACACACCTCTTGATACTTTACATTGAGCCATTCAACACTTTCAGTATGAGGATGAGGATAGGAAGACTGTGGGGTTCTACATTATGAGAGGAGAATAAGAATCAGTACTTTTTAGTTATTGAAACAGTTCTTTCATTCCTAACTATTAGACACCGAGGAACCTAGTTACTGTTAGGCATAGAAAAAGATGAGAGAATGGAAATTTTAGCAGAGGGTTAAGTTTAAGCACATGTAGTGTTTGGTTGGGCCATGTGTTTAAAATGTGAAAAAGTTATGACGTATTTTGGAAGAAAATCTTTATAGAACTGAGGAATATCTGTATAATCTGTAGAAAATAAGTGATTAGTTTATTTGGTCATCATTGTTCATTCCCAGTGAATTTCAAATGTTAGTTTTCATGTTCTTTACAATGCTTAAAATAAGAAATAATGTAAAACTCAGGATGAATTTTCTTTATTAGCAACATATTTCCTAAGACCCACTAATACAGATAATTACTTTAATAATATCTTTTAAATTTTTGTTAATTAAAATTGATCCACTTTAAGGGCTGGGGTGTAGCCCAGTGATAAGAGCACATACTTAGCATTCACAAAGAGCTGTTTCAATTCTTGTTACCAAAGATTATTTTAAAGTAATTTTAAAGGGATACAGTGAAGCTTAGTGGCAAGGTGCTTGCCTAGCAGCCCCCTTTTATTGGTTTTTAAACCAGTCAGAGGTAGGTTTGTTTTTTCTTTCTTTTTTTTTTTTTTTTTTTTTGAGACGGGATCTCAGTAATTTAGCTCAGGTTGGCCTTGAACTATTGATCTTCTTGCTTCAGCTTCCCAAGTATTGAGATTACAGATATGTGCCACTACACAAAGAGTACATTTTAATTTTTCCTTCTTTTTCTTTTACTTATTTATTGGTGTGTGCATGTGTGTGTGTGTGCATGCACGTGCACAGAACACATGTGAAGGCCTGAGTACAACTTGGGGAAATCCCTTGTCTTCCTTGTACCATGCGGGTTCTAGGTATCAAACTCAGGTGGTCAGGCTTGGCAGTAAGCATTGGGTAACAACCATTCCATCCATTTCCACTATCACCATCTGTTTTCCTGGTTATATCTGGAGAATTTCAGTAAAAGTTTATTTGAGGATGACTTGGTCTGTCTTAACATTTTTGTATATGTTGACTGTTGATAGCTCTGTTGCCAAGGATTCACTTGCACCCTTATGTTAGTAAATGTATCTACTGTATTATTATGGCCTGTCCCCAACATAAGTGTGTTTGTTGGCAAACCCTAGTCAATGGCTTCCCTAAAATGAAAGTTTCTGGTTCCACTTTGACATTGTTGTCAGACATCAGAGTGATGGCTGTAGCTACAAGAAGATTGATCTCCTTTTACTCAAGTCCTTAGAAAGTCGTTCTCTGAAGAGGATATGTGACTATAACTTGTTGGTTCTCTATTACCATAGTTTCACAGGTTTCTCATGATATCTAATTTGTGAAACAGGGTACAGAATGAATGTTTCATCTTGGCCCATGTTCTTACTACGGACACTAACTGGATCTGAACTGGCCCCTGCAGTGTGCTTTAAGAAGGTAAGAAAAGCATTACAACAAATTTCTGTCCCCCATAACATGATTTTAATTTTTTTTTTAATGTGACTGCTTAATACATCGTCTTTTCCTGTATGGAAAAAGTTTTGTTTTGTTTTGTTTTGTTTTGTTTAAAATTGCAGGTTGGCAAATACTGAGTTAGTTTGTTAGACCACTGTAACAAATTGGAGTAGCTTACATAATAAAAAATGTTTCCCACAGTTTGGAGGCTAGAATAAGAATTAGGGTGCTTTGAAGGCTGGTTTATAGTTGTCCATCTTCTTGTGTCCTTTTATGGCCTCTACTCTGTGTGTGCACACCTACTGAGTCTCTTCCTCTTATTATTACACCACCCCAGTCAAATTGGATTAAAGGTCTGTTTTTGAATGTATTCATATTGGTAGTACTTCAACAGAAATTTGTGTTAGAAGAGACACCACTTAGTTCATTATAGCAACTGTAGTTCCTATGAGTCATGAGTCTAACAGTCCTGTCACATACAGAAATACTCTGTTTTGCTCTGGTTCTTTCTGATCTCTGAATTTTAGAATCTTCTTGCCTTTCTTTTCTACAATGATTCCTGAGCCTTGTGGTGATAACATGGTGTGATATGGTTATCCCATTCATAACTGAGAACATTTATTTTCTGCACAATGACCAGTTGATTAACAGTTTCTTTTTAGTACAGAAGCTTTTTAAATTTCATAAAGTCAAAATTGTTCATTGTTGTATTTATTCCTGGATGACTGGAGCCCTATTCAGAAAGTCCTTACCCAATACTGAAGTGTATTTCCTACTTTTTCTTCTAGAAGTTTTAGATCTATCATTGAGATCTATGATTCATTTGGCATTGATTTGTGTGCAGGTTGAAAGAGAAGAATCAAATTTCCTTCTATATGTATATAGCTAGATTTCTCAATACAATTTGTTTAAATAGCTATCTTTTCTCTAGGGTATGTTTTCGGTGTCTGTCAGAAATCAGGGAGTTGTATGTGTAATTATACCTGGCTCTTCAGTGCTCTTCCATTGATCACTGTGTCTGCTTTTGTTCTGATGCCATGCTGGTTTTACTACTATGGCTCTACAGTGTAACTTGAAATCAGCAATAGTGACACCCCCACCAGTGTATTTTTTCATTGTTCAGGATTGTTTTGCCTATCTCTAGGGTATTATTTTGGGCTTCAATGTGAATTTTAAGATTGATTTTTCAGTTTCTGTACAAAATGTTTTTGGAATATTGGCATTACACTGAATCTGTAGGTTGTTTTTGGTAGGATAACCATTTTCATATTAACACTACCATTCCATGTGCATAGGAGGTCTCCCCTTGTGTCATCTTCAATTTTTTTCTCCAATTTTTTAAAATTTTTACTGTAGATGGCTAGATTTATTTAAACATCAGTTCTGGAGGTTGGAAGTCAGACATGAAGGTGCAGACAAGACTTCTTCTAATTCTTCCTACGTTTCCCAGCATGGTCTTTCTGGTCATCATGCTTTTCAACAGCTTTACTCTTTTGTAACTGACTTCCAGAGCCCTTCCTATTTTTATGTCTTCAGAATAAAATCTCTCCTTTGATATTCTAACTCTTCTTTCCTGGAGTCAGAGGGGAAACCTTTATAGTGATACTTTACTGAAAGCCGTATTTAATATTTTTGCTTGTCAGTGAATCTTAAATTTCTGCCACATGATAGAATTTCTTGTATGAGTGGATGGATCAGGTTAATTTTGTTTCCTTCTAAATTCTTGGCTCTGTAGGAAAAAAGTGAAATGTTAAAAGAATAGTTTGTGATTTTTAAGAATACCTTTCTTCCTAATAAATATGAAACCTATTTTTTGGTTTCTAAGGATTAAAAAAGAACACAGTAAAAAGATAGTTCTTAATGTATCTTAATTGTGAAAATTTTTAAAATGTTTTTGTAGGAACCACCACCGCCACCCCTAAATAATTTTAAAGTTGGGATGAAGATTGAAGCTGTTGATAGAAAAAACCCGTTTTTGATCTGTCCTGCCACAATTGGAGATGTCAAAGGAGATCAAATTCATATTACTTTTGATGGGTGGAGTGGAGCATTTGATTATTGGTGCAAATATGACTCCCGGGACATATTCCCAGTTGGATGGTGTTGCCTCACAGGAGATATATTGCAGCAACCAGGAAGTATTGGTAAGCTAATATCTAACTATATGTTCTGTTATTTTAGATTTTATTTTGATGGCATTGTGTTTAGTAGTGGTGATATTAGGACTTGATGCCGAATTAGAATGGCAGGTAGACCAGTAATAACATTCTCTAGTCTAGGTACTAGAGATGATGCAAGTTTCAAATTAGAGTAATTAGAATTCTTGAGAGCTCCCTAGGCATCTTATGTTCCATTTCATGCTAAGAATATTGGCAAAGCCAAAAGTCACATTTAGAATGTTAGAACCATGTTATTATAAACATTGGATGTATTTAGGAGATGGTTCTATTTAAAATTACTTTTGTAATTACTATTCAATTACAATGTATACATGAGTTCTGGGGGTATAGCTCAGTGGAATGAGTGTGTAGCATGCAGAGGGCCCTGGATTCTATTCTCAACACCAAAGCCTTTTAAAAACATTTGCACATGGTATTTCATTAGTCACATCTTAACCATAATTTTAAAAGTTGAACAAAAGAAGTATTTAAATGTATTTTTTCTGTTTATATTTTAAAGATAAACTGATACTTTGATATTCTCAAGTAAAATCTATATGTGACTATAGCTTCTGTGGATGCTGTTGTAGATTTCTGTTCAGTCATCATACTATTCATCATTTGTAATGGTGTTTCTAGATTGAATACTGTGATCATGTAGATACCTTCTTTCAGAGAAATGTCTTCAAAATATCAGAGTTCCTTGGCAACTCATTCAAGGGCTTAAGCAAGCCTGATGTGGACTTTGAAATAACCACTGCTGAGATACATTGGCCTTGAGTTTAGTACAAATTTACTGGTGGAATCAAATGTAAACAATTACAATTTACCTCACTAAATGCTATCTGTATCATAAAAAATAAAGATAAAATAAGTAGGTAAAGAATATAGAAGAGGTTAGGGGCTAGGAAAGGGTCTAGAGGTATATTATTCTTGTAACGGACTGCTATTGAAGTCTTCTGTGATTTAACACATCTCATTATAGTACAGCAATACATACCAGTTTCTTGATGCTATATCTAGCAGGCAGATGTTAGTGTTTAATTTTGGTAAATAGTTCTACTACACAGATCTATATATGATACTAAGGTAGCCAAGGCATAGTATCTGCCCTCATGAAATCGACTTTTTAGTGAAGAGAAATGGACTGAGGGATAAACCTGTTAAAAATTACAAAGATAGAAATGTATGGTAAATATGGAAGTAGCTCAAACTCTGGAGAGAATGGTGATTTAGTAAAGAAAGCCTCAGAGAAAAAACATGACTATTCAGAGAGGAGAAGTAATTTGCTATGCAGGATGCTACTGTAGGCAGGGTAGACATATCACAGGTATAAAATTTGAATTTACTCTGAAAACAGATGAATTTTGCTTAAGACGTGGTTAGTTGGGAATGTGTGGATAAGAAGTTATTACCCTTGAGTACCTTCTTTTTCTTCTACATTGAGCTACATCTCCAACCCCGTGGTGGTGGGTCTGGTTATGTTTTTGTGGTGGTAGAAATCATACCCAGGGCCTCTTTATATGAATTCTGTCCATAATCCCTTTTGGTTTTTTTCTTTGTGTAATAACAAGAATATACTTGTACATCACTTTGTGCTTTAACTTTCAGTATGAAAGAGATTATCCTGAATATTCTACTTCCTTGCTTATTTTTGCATAATATATTGTGACTGTGTAGATGATCCCTAATCATCTTCGGATGACTACATTTACAAGTTTTGTCATTACAATTCAGTGAAAGCAATAAATATTCAGGAGAAACCATACTTTGAATAGTAAATTTTAATAATTTTCTAGTCTAGTAATATGTAATAAAATATTTTATTATGCTAGGTACTGGCAGTGGACAACAAGGCGAAAAACAAATGCTTTGATACTAGATATGTTTCTTTTGTATGCTGTGTTTATGTTTTCACAATTGATTGAAAAATGCCCATATGTATCTCTTACATCCATATACTTTGTAATATTTACTTTGAGTACAGTTTTTAATTAAGATACCCAATATTTTATTTTAAAATGGGATTTTTGTTAAATGATTTTACCAAAGTATAAGCAAATATAAAGGCTCTGGGCATGTCTTAAGATAAATTAGATTTAAGTTTAAGCAATGATATTCGGCAAGCAGTGTATCAAATGCATTTTGATTATCAAAATGCAATCCCATCATAACTTGAACAACACATATATTCCTGTGTAAAATATATCCTACAAATTGCAATTTAATTCTACATGCATTCCATCATATGCTGTACATAATTGACTTAACTAAATTTCTGTTTTGTTAGATATTGAAGTTCTTTCACATTTATGTTATTATACTAGATGCTATAAGTACTTTTATGTACATATATTTGCATTCCTCCATATTTCATACAGTAATTTTGCTGAAGTAGAGAATGTGTTTTTAAGCTAAAAAATTGTATTTCAGGAAGTCATATATTACCCTCTGAATTAGGTAAAATATTTTTCTCTATTCTGCCCAATCTTGGGAAAAGTCTAATTTCATTATTTTTACATTTTTAATTCCATAATTTGCTAATGAGTTTAAAGCTTTTTCTTTCCATAGGTTTTGGGCATTAATATTCCTTCATAATTGTCTAATAATCACCTTTTTCTCATTTTTCATCTTAGAATACTACTTCTTTTAAACTAGTTTGTCTGTTTCATTTATTGCACAGCTTAAACCCATGTCCCCCAGTTAAAATTATTTTCCTCAGTCATTTGATTTTTAACATTATAATCTTTTTTCAACTAACAAAAGTCTTTATTGACTTAATAATTTAAGGGCCTTACTTTTAAGTATTTTCAAAAGGCATAAATGATAGTAAGATAATCAGATTTTGTAAATTAAGATTTTATATTCATTTTGATTATTTCTTAAATATATTATAAATGTTTCTGAACTTATAAACAATTTCTTTTTCTTAGCACTTAAAACTTTTGAAAAATAAATAATTAAAAGCAATAAAGTTGCAGTGAAACATGAATACTACTTGATTTAGAGAAGAGTAATAAAGTTTAATTTGCTTTAAAACTTCTTTCATTTTTTAAAATTCTGAACATTTCTATGATCAGAAATAATGGAGTTTTTAATTGGGCTTTCCTGGGGTTAGTAAATCTGTGCTTTTTTCTTATTTATCCACATTTTCTTTTCCAGGATCTTGTTATGACCCTGTACTCTTTCAAAGCTCATTGTGATGTCACAACTGATCAAATTTCTTTGCAAGACTGTCAATACAGGGTATCTAGTGAAAAAGGTAGCAGCACTGCATATGTGTTGCTGTGTCTTTAGCAACTTGGAGGAGATAGTCCCATAAGTGAAAACAGGGCCTATTGTGATTTTCTTTGAACAATTTATTTGATTTTGCTGTTTTCATTTTTTCAGTTTCTCACACTCCCATATCTTCTTTGTAATTCTCAGTTGCCTTTAGATCATTTATATACTGATAGAAATTTAATGATTCCTTATAAACTATTTATTTTTCTCATATTGCTTTTCCCATGTCTCTAGCATGTTATAGAACTTTATCACCAGTCATTACAAATATATAATACAAGAAGGAACAAACAGGATATTCCAGTAATTTAGGATCATAACTGGAATGTGTAGCATGAATGTTAAAGAGTCTTAATTAATAAAACAAACCCGGAGCCAAGTATTGGGTTGAACACTGGAAGGTCAGAGAGACAGAACAAGCCACAGCTAACCTTACCTGACCAACTTCTCAGCTGGTCTTATTTCCTCAGACTGGAAGCTTCTGTGTCCTCATCCCAATGGCTCTCAGCTGAACTGATGCTCAAAAGCCTGAAGCTTAACCAGCCAAATGCTTAACCAGCCAAATGCTTAACCAGCCAAATGCTTCTAGTGTCTGGTCTTCATGCCTTATATATCTTTCCTTTCTACCATCACTCCCTGGGATTAAAGGCTCACTTTTTGGGATTAAAGGCGTGAGTCACCATGCTTGGCTGTATCCTTGAACACATGGATTTCTGCCTCTGGAATGCTAGGATTAAAGGTGTGAGTGCCACCATTTTCTGGCCTTTGTATCTAGTGGCTGTTCTGTCTCTGATCCCAGATAAGTTTATTAGGGTGCACAATATTTTGGGGAACACAATACCACCACAGGAATGACCCCATTTTTTTAATGTATGAAGATATTTTTCTTTTTTCTTTTTGGATGGGAATATACATTTGTCATTTGAGACATTCAGAAGAATAAAATTCTGTTTAAAAAAGTGCACCAGGGGCTGAATAAATGGCTCAGTGTTTAAAAGCACTGGTTGCTTTTCCAGAGGATTGGGTTTTATTCCCAGGACCTATATATCAGCTCACAACCTTTTGAAATACCAGTCCCAGGGTATCTGACAACCTCTTAGGTCTGCTGAAGGCACTATGCATGGCATACACATTATGCATAGAAATACACGCAGGCAAAACATACACATAAAATAAAAATTAATTAATTAAAAAAATTTGCCCCAGTAATTTTCCTAAGATTATGAAATTATTCAGTCTTTAAGAAATAGTTCTATTGTAAATGTTTTACTTTGCTTTAACAATCCTTAAGTACTTTAAGCATAAACTATGTAAATTAAATTTGAACTTAAATAATTTCTAAAACAATGAATTTTTTAAAATTTAGCTACACATTTATATATTATTGATTGTAATAATTATCTTCAGTTTTGTGAAGTTGTCTTGTGCTTACAGATATTGTTCTTATGCTGGTCTACTAGTCATCTGTGTTTGGGGTTATAACAGGTTAGGTGCTGATTTTTCAGTTTATCCTTTGTTGGATGGATACTTTTTGGATGATTTCCCCCCTTGCTTTCTCTTTCCTTTCTGGTCTTCTGGCCTGAGTGGCCAATTGTAACATTATATACTAGCATGAAGAACAAGAAGCAGACTGTCACATGATTTGGGTCTGTAAAGTTGCAGGGTCTCTAGGGTATGGAGGAATTTCGTGTGTCTAAGAGGAA